CGCAGAGATAAACCGCATAATTTGCACGGCTAATAGATGCTATTTTGGGCTTAATCTCCTTTTTAAATCTACAGTTATATCAAGAAACACAAAAGTAAAACTCTACAAAACAATTATACGCCCAGTCCTAACATATGGGTTAGAAACCTGGACTTGGAAAATGGTGTCTGGAGAAGACGATACAACTTCGAACTGTATAGAATATAACAGGAACCAGATATCCTAAAACACATTAAGATAGGACGTCTGAGGTGGGTAGGCCATGTAATGCGGATGGAGCAAACCGACCCAGCTAGAAAAACGCTCCTTGATAGACCTATTGGTCAAAGAAGAAGGGGAAGACCCAGAACAATATTTCTAGATAACATAGACCAAGATATGAGAAATATGGAAATACATGCTTGGCGGAGGAAGGCGATGGATAGGGACGAATGGAAAAAAATTCTTGGGGAGGCTAGGACCCACACAGAGTTATAAAGCCAAAATGATGATGATGCTGTCTATTTTTATTTATCAGCTTGTAATCTTTTTTCTTTAATAATGGTTTTTTCCGGTGTATCTGTGGCAATAATACTTTTTTTACTCTTTCTGTTCTTTCCATTATTTTGAAAAGGCTTTCAGTGCAGGCATAAATTGTTGTGGTGAAATAAATGATGGTTCTGATATACTTTCTGTACGTTCAGTGTTTTCTGATTCAATGTTATTCATTGCATAACTGTCATCTTCATTTGGCACAGTGATTTCATCGTTATGTTGACCTCTTTGAAGGTCTCTTGTATTATTAGAACGATCATTTATACATGATCTGTTTGTTACCTCACTTAGCAAAAAATCGTCGTCTATAAAGATATCCCGATCAAAGGAATATATTATACAGCATTTTTGAAGGCATGGGCAATATTTGTAGGATTCTTCGAACGACTGTGTGCTATTCCAATACATTTAGCTAAATTATAAATAGATCTCGGTCTACCAGGATTTCTTAAAAGCCACAACTCTATGGCACTGTTATGTCTTGAGTGGCTGTCATTTAGTCGATATGAGGGGATGCACAGTTTTAATATTAACCCCTAAAGCTGTTGCCAAATCTAGGGATTCGATAGATAAATGAGATTCATGATTATCGAAAAATAAAACTGATGGTTATCAGGAGAGCTTTTGCTATGTTAAATGAAATGTTTCATTACCTTTACAAATAACTCCAAATTCATCCATTCTCTCGGCGTAGCAAAGCCTAAAGAGCCTTTTAACATGAAATCCGGAAAAATTATATTGCTATATAGAGGTAAAGCATAACCACCGGCACGGTATACTAGCGTCTATTTCTCACCGCTGGTGACTTTACCCAAACACTTTTTCACTTTTGGTGCCAATATTTTCCGCACTGTTGAGGTTGTAGTTTCATCAAGAAGTTGTACATTCCAATTTATTACAGCATACAAGTTTTCAACACTATCTCTGTTAAATTATGTCGCACGTCCAGACTGCACGGTTCTGGTTTTCACAGTGACAGATCTGTACGCCTGTTCCTAAAACTTCGGAGCCACTCCCTGCCAGTAATTTCTGCATTCTTCCATGAATCAGGAATTTTGATATTATTCCTTTGAGCCATTTGATATGCAAAATTTCTACATTCAACAGACATCAATCCATAAAACATAAGGGCACAAGTTTTCAAATAGGTCTTAACAGCATCTTCTTGTTCACTTGTGAAAATCATGTTCTTCTCATAGTTGGGGCAAATCTTATGTTTTCGGTTGGAGCAGACTTTCTTTTTTCAACGTATCGCCTTAATGTAGGGTACGCTAAATTACTTTCTACTGCAGCTTTATACTGCAGCGGTATGTGCGCCTTTCTTTCTTTCTATTTTCTTAATGTGGCCTATCCAGCAAACAAAAATAAATCTAAAAAATTGGAAGGATACACAGTGAACCATAGTTCATTGTGTACGTACCGCACCTTAAGAAAAAAAATCGAAAAAGCTTACCTTGAAAATTATACTCGATGCGTCCAGATTCTTATAATTTGTTATAAGACGGGCAAGTTTAGTGGTAGCAAAACAACAACTAGGATTTAGTTCTAGGTTATCTAGTACATCCGTACAGTAGTGTCGGCCTTTTTCTAAAATGCGTATTACTAACGAAAGATTGGTTGGTTCATTGTGTACGTGTGGTTCATTGTTGAACGCATATCCCTATGATCTACCCAGAATGTGACATCAGTTCAATACTATGACTAAGAAATTCGACATAAGGTGCATAAATAGGTGCAAACTTCAGATTGAAAACCAAATGGTAGAAAAATTAACGAGATTTGAATACCTTGGAGTCAAGTTATTCAAGTGACAAAATACTGAGAGATAATTAATGGACAAAAGCAAGCAGAACAGAACGACACAATGTGGAGAAACCAATAGTGAAAATAGAATCAAAAACGTGTGCTTGGAAAACTTGTTTAATGCTAATATTTTATTTTTATTATGTAATTTCTTTTAACATTACCTATCAATCTCCTACCTTATTCAATCCATAATATAATTTTTAAATCTTTAAATTTCTCGCGTCAAATTGACTATATACTATAAAAGCTATATATATATATATATATATATATATATATATATATATATATATATATATATATATATATATTATATATATATATATATATATATATATATATATATATATATATATATATATATATATATATGTATATATAATCCACAAGGAAAACAATTCCTGTAGCTGGCTATATACCACGTATCACAAAAGAGGTTAGTCTTTGTAAGTGGGTATATTTATTTAAAAACCCTTAAAAGGGCTACATCAAAAAAACAAACGTTTTCGGACTAAACAGTCCATCATCAGGTTTAAAATCTGCCTAAAATAAGTACAAACCATTTAGTTAAAACAAACGTGATTATGAAATTTTGACTATGGTTAAAAAAGCAAAATGGTTATACTTACTAGGTTAAAATGCCTGAGCCACCAAAAATACATGGGTAAAAACCCTTTAAATTACTTATAGTTATGAAAGATTATACATCTTGTTGTTAAAAAATTGTGATGTTCATTATTAAATTAAATATGACTTCAGGAAACATACATTGCAATTTTTTTTTTTTGAGTTCCAGAGCCGGGGAGAAAACCTCTACGCCCGGAGAACAGCTGGAAACTGATTTACAATATACCTATGAAAGGTGTCAAAACAAAATGTCAATGCAACATAGAACTATATTAGTTATACCTAGTATTACTACAGCCAAAAGATTCAAAAATTATTTTTGATGATTTTAAAAAATAATAACAGCAATATAGGTGTTGGGATTTAAAATTTGGGTTATAATCGATGTGAAATCACCAATGGTGTTAAAGTCATATTTAAGAGGATGACCTGTGTATTAGGCAACCTATGTTGCTTTTTGTCGTATGGAATATGGTCTAAAAGTGTATTTTATGTTAGATTAGCTTATATATATATATATATATATATATATATATATATATATATATATATATATATATATATATATATATATATATATGAAAATTATCCTTTTATGTTTATCACATCTAGGACAGGTAAAAATTTTTTTAATAGTAAATATTTGAAGCTAATATAAGACCTTGTATTTAAATGACTCCACCATTTCTCACCATACTAACAGTCTTAAATAGTCACAAACGGGGAAAAGAAGCACATTATGTCGTTCCAGGAAGAGTGGAATGATAATTTCTCAACAGCGTAGGAGACAACGATAAAGAAAAATATGTGATATGCTTCAATAAAAGAAGGACAGCCCACAGTAAGTAAATAGTTTTAAATAAAACAAACTTGTATTAAATATTATGTTTATAAGGGATATTTGAATTGAATATAAACATCAAATTTAACTTAGCTACAAGAAAGCAGTTTTAGAACCCTTTTACCCTTTTGTTAAATAATATTAATTTTCTTTCAAATAGTATTATTAGTTTTCAATACCTAAAATTAATGATTTTTTAGTCGACAGTATCAGATAGTCATCGATTGACAAAGTCATAACAATTGTCATAATGAAACAGAAAATTGGAAGTTTTATAACAGCTAATCGTATTATTTGATGTTGTTTTCTTAACTACTTCAAGATAAATTATTTGCTTTTTTTTATTTATCCCAAGATATACCATTTTTCAAAGTAAAACACTTGCACGTCACGATTTATACAAGGTGACGTCACTTGTATTTAAAATTTCCAGAACATCAACCTTGGGAGTTATTATTATTATAATAATCATGTTTCACTAATTGACATATTTAAATTCTTTAACAAAAAGGTTATTTTGAACAAGAAATAATGGCGGGACGTTTTTACTATTCAAGCCCTAAAAGAGATAAGTTTAAAATTTAGAATATATAATTTTGTATTAAAATGTTTTTTATGTATTTAAATGGGTTGCAGTAGTCTTAAAACTAAGTGTATTTACTGTTAATATAATAGTTTGATAAATAGTTGACATTTTAAAAATTCCTCACTTACTAACTATTCTGATGTTTTGGCTACGCTGTGGGGTTCTGACGACGTAAATCTTGAATGACGTGCAAGCTATTTTATATGAAAAATGCTATAAGTAATTTTTCCGGTTAAAAACAATGCCTCTTTATTATTTAAATGAGATTATCTTGATTATATTACCTCCTTATGGCTAGCAACAAAAATAAGTTTTGAACCAATTTAGGATTTCCTTAGGGATTTTTTAAGACAAACAATGGTTTTTGTTCGTACATATTTTGTATATTTTTAATCGTTTCGCTATCAACGTGGTACCACAAGCAGTCAGTCTCGTGTAAGAATGGACGTTAGTAGCCCAATGCGTCAAATAGGTATAGTATAGTAGTATTATTTCAAATCCGATTCCAATTTTAATGTGCAGTCTACGTGAAACACCCTGTACAGTGTTATTTTAAAATATTTTCTAAATATGCAAGAGTGCTTAGTTCTAATTTCAGAAACTTACTTTTAAGTCTCCAGAAGATGCTTCCCAAAACTCAAGTCTACCGTCTGCACAACCAATAACGATTAAGTTGTCCAGATAGTCCATACACCATATAGGTGATAATTTACATTTACATCCAGAAAAGTTACTACTGTCACCACTTTCGCATGGAGTATTGGATTTACTGTCACCTCCAGAACTAGATCTAAAACATAAAGCAAAAATAGTATTTTAATTACGGCATTGTGTATAAAACATATGCGTAAAAAGTCCGGTAACTCGTGTCAAAAATAAGTCATTTTGCGTAACACAACATAAAAAAATTTTGATGTAAAGTTCAAACCAAACCCTTCTTTTAGTGCATCATAATTTATCGAATTCTCTTAACGCATTAAGTTGGAAGTGGTAGAAAAAAAGGTACGTCCGTGATTATTAAACATAGAATTTAGAAAATTATGTAGCGTTGACGGATAGTTGCATATTAAAGCGACTTCTACTTGTGGATGTATAATTGGTTGACGTTTAGAATAAGCTAAATCGATATCCAATCAATGATGCGAATAACGCAAAAGTACTTGATCTTTACAGTACTTTGACAATGTCAACGAGTAAAATGACAATTGTCATCCAGGTTAGTATTTTCTGATATTGTATGGTCACAGAATAATAAACAAACAGAATGCCCACTCTGCTTGTCAAGATAAGTAGGCGCATCTCGTTCGCGCAGACGGAATCATCCATGTTTTAAACGGAACGAGTTTTGTTCAGTGAAATTTTATTTGCTGTGGATAGAAAAATTAACCCAATTTAATTTATTTACGGCAACCATAGATATAATATTTATGCACTATTTTATTCGTACTTTTGGTTGAACAATAGATTAAATTATTTTAAATTTACTAAATTATTATTCCCTAAAAATTTAAATTAATGTTCTGTCGTAGCTTGTCACAAATTTCTTAATACGAGTCTATTAATTATATTAAAATTATTTAGATTATTATCAATTAAAAAAAGGCTAGAACAAATTTAAAAGTTTTAAATTATTCTAAAAATAACAGTATTTTAAATGTTTTATATTTTAGCGTGTTGCCGAGGCATTAGAAGTATCTTTTTTACCGCCTAGGTATAAGATCCTATTTTCCGCCAGGGTTACTGGACTAAAACATAATATATTTTATTATCTAAACTATAATAGATACGAGTACAATGAAAACGGGTATGGATACTTATATACTGGTATGGTTATACTTAACGCTCTACACACTCTAAAAAAAGAGTAAAAAATAAAACAAAATCTTTGTCGAGCCTCAGACTTGATATGAAAACTTGTAATATATTTGATGTTTTTTAATTAAACAACTAATAAAAGGACGATTTTATTGGATACATAGGTTCCAAATTGATATTGAAAATACACCCTCAAGCAATGTTGAAAAAAGCAATTCGGTGCTTTTTTGAATTTAACCTTTTTACACTTCATTTTATCATACTTATTTCTAGAAAATGTAAGAAACGTATATTGTGACTATATTAATATTACTGTAAAGTAGACAAAAGCCTGGAATATGGTTGTTCATAAGTTAACAATATTAAAAACGTATTGTAATATGTCAGCTCTAGCGTTTGTTAGGTGTGACAGAACTTGATACTACATATCAAAAACTAAGCAGATTCACATTTCAAATATACTGCCAAACAACTACGAAAATTTTACATCTTAAAGTCAGAGTTTTCATTGACAACATTAGTAGTGCTACATAAACTACAAAGCAAACTATCGTTTTCTGCATTTCAAATTATTGACGAAATAATTGAACATACACGTATCTAAATAATGCCTGTCTAACTTACCTACTATATATTACATTATTTTTAGTTCTCACTTCACCATCGTCTCCACTATTTAAACTTCTACGTTTCGCAATGTTTTCCATGCTGTGTCTTTTAGAGGTTCCCTCTTTTAAAGATTCATATCGATTTCTTAATCTTGTACCGAAATTATGATTATAATAGAAATGTCGATACGACTTATTAAAATTGTATTTGGAATCAGTATACTCTGTTGGATCCCAGTGGTCATCAGTAGTGTTAGAGAAATCTGTATTTATACGATTGAGGAGTTTCGGAAAAGAATCCTCCCGTGAGGGAGGCGAACCGGATTCGTAGTCTGACAGGGTTTCATCTAGTTCAGAAGCCAGATCTGATGATTTAGCGTCTATGAAAATTGATTTTCTATCAATTTGACTTATTACTTCTGTCGTGTTATTGTCGAAAACTTTGATTTGCCCTCCTAAAAAAGAAAGCAACAATTTTATCATTTATAGTAGGGAGAGTAGGGTCGTACTAAAAAGTACATTTTTTAGTAAATTTATTTGATAAATTGATTCTGAATGATTGATATTGAGTTAAGCTACACGAAATACTTATCATTTAAATGGTTAAAATAGTAATCGGCAACTCATACATGAAGTCTTTTCAGTCTTCATATATGAAAAATTTTCTCCTGTAGTATTATGACAATTACTTATAAACATTTCAATCACGTTTCGAATAGGTTCCAGTTTGTCGGTTTGTCTACGGTGTTCCCAAATACCTTTATCATCAAAATGCATCTAGCTTCTTCTTCTTAAGGTGTCGTGCATTTCTGCGTAGGCTTCCACCGAACATCGTCTCGTCTGGTGAGATGATAAATATTCAGGATTAAATAATTCTGTTTTTAGCAGCATTGCGGAGCATTTCATAGCTGTGGATTCCTGTCCATTGTCGAATATTGCGCAGCCATGACATTTTTTTTTACGTCCCAAACCTCTCCTACCCTCTATCTTCCCTTCGAGTATCAGTTGCTGAAATGTGTATCTTTCTCATCGTAATATGTGCCCCAAGTATGCAGTTTTCTTACTTTTTACATAACTAAAAAGTTCCCTATCCTGTAAGCCCGCACTTCTGAGTACTTCCTCATTTCTGACCCTGTCCGTCCATGATATTCTAAGCATTCGACGCAGATACCACATTTCAAACGCATCAAGTTTGTTAATGAAACTGGCCTTTAACGTCCATGCTTCCATTCCGTACAGGAGAACAGGCCACTCGTAACACTTAAGCACTCGGAGGTTGACGTAAAATTTGCGATCAGTCAGAAACTTACGAAGCCTCAAAAAGCATTTCTGGCTTGTTCAACTCTGCTCTTTATTTCATTCTCAGGGTCCCAACCCTCGTTCAGCAAACAACCCAAGTATTTGAATTGCCTGACCTGTTCGATTTCTTCGCCAGAGACATATATCTTTGCGTTGGGGTAATCATTTCTACTTATAATCATTGTTTTTGTCTTCTTGATATTTATTTTCAAATCCAGCATCCAGTTAGTAAAGTAAATAGCAAAACTGTCAGAGTGACACTATATAAAATTTCCGTAAGATATATTATAATATTAACATTTTTAGTTGAAAATGAAAAATGGCAACAGAAAATCCCAATTTTTAGTGGATAATGCTATTTTGACTAAGATTAACACTAATCTTAAGTTGGTCGTCCTGTGATGACTTTTGTCTTCTGACCTAGTATCCTACTCAACCGAAAGATGCTCCCGCACTGATGCACTGAAACAGATTTTCCCCACCTGCCAGAATTCAAAGAATACCTTATAAGGCTCTTACTGGAATCTGGCAACACGGCAATTAAAAAAAAGTATTTCTGATTTGTCTAATATTCGAGATATTGTCAAAAAGATTTTCTTTCAGTACGAGTCCAGAGTTAGGCATTGGTAGTCTGCTATTTAGATCGATAGGATCGGGTCTGCAGAATTTGAATATGTCTGCAATTCTTCTTCTTACTACACCCCAGTGGCGAACCCAAGGGGGTTTGGGGGTTAAACCCGCAGGGCACTATTCCCACACTGTTACTCACAAATTTTAAGGCCTCAAAATTTCGGTGCCCAATCAAATTCTCCCAGGAAAATTCTAGGTGCGCTATTGCTACACCCGTCATTCTAAATGTTGCCGATCTAAATGGCAATTACAGTTTTCTCTTAACTTTCACCTCTTAATATATTACCCAAGTACTGCATTTTTCATTTAGCAGTTCTTTTGGTTATTGATATACTGAAGAACATCGATGATTTTTTATATCCAGTATCCCAGTATCCTCAAAAATGTATGTATCCAAATGTATACATACATTTTGAAGGTCGTATACATAAACTGCAGAATATGATCATCCGAGATCTGAACTTTAACCGTTTAATCTTGCAAAAAATGTCTTCATGATCATGAATGTTTCCTCGCTTGTCCAATTCTTGATATTATTTATTTTTAGGCGGCACTCACTGTTCATGTGCTCAGATTAGCACAGATATTTTATAGAGATTATTGTATTATTAAATGTATTTCGTTGACATTAATTCCACATTGATTTTGGCTTATGCCATGCTTCCCCAAATATAGATTCCAAATATATATGCAATAGGGGTGGGGTAAAGGACACAGTCCCATTTCACTCCTTGTCTAACTCATATACATAACTACCGATGATGTATGTTCTATTTGGACTGTTGTTGTTTAGTTCCAGTAGAGTTCTGTAACAAACGTCAAATCAATCGCGATTGATTTTAGAATTTCAATCATCGTGTGTGGTGCGTATGTGTGCGTGCGCGTGTGTGTGCGCGCCTGTGTGTGTGTGTGTGTAACGTATATAATTACTCGTAATTTTTAATTTTTTTGAAATATTTTTCTTTTAATTGGGTTTTTTTGGTGATGTGGGAGATAATTTTATTTTATCTTGTTATTAAGTTAGTAACCAAAATTTCATTTTCTTAAGGAACAAGTTTAAAACAATGTCTAAACATCAAACTTACCCAAACAAGCGCTAACTATATTAGTACCATCGGTAGCGATGCATTCAATTTCTTGACTATGACCTTCTAATCCAATCGGCATAGCCTCCAGTAACACTTGATTTTCCTGTTGTTCTTCAACTTTTTCATTAAACCAAGAAGCTCTCCATTCTGCGTAATTTCTCGAGCATATACATCGATACAGGACAAAAACACCATATGCCAAAACTACAACGCTGATTAAACAGAGAATTGTTGTTAAAAATATTTCCATAGGGGATGTAGGGTAAAATGGTTGATCTGACTGAGGAATCGAATGTCCTGCTGTTTCATCTGAAAAGTTAAAATAAATTCTACACTCAATTCATACAGGGGATGGAAAAATCAAAAAGTTACCCGTTCATGGAAATGTTCTGTGTTTGGATTTTAATAGAATATTAGAACATAAGTTACAAAAATAGGTTCGCGGTTTTGTAATTATCTACAATTAAAAATATTTTTTTTATTTCACATTTCAATTTCCAACTCAGAAATTTTTCTGAAAATACACCTAGTATAAAAAATACTGATAGCAGTTTATTGGCATTTAAAAGAACGCCGTATTCAATTATGGCAGTAAAATTTTCTTGTTAAGAATTTCATTGTAACTCAGGAATGGAAGAAGAAAACTAATGCTGATGATAAAAACATTAATACACCCTATAGATAAAAATACTGAACTATTAATGTTGTTCTATGCAGATGACATTGTTATCCTCGCAGACTCAGAAATAGATGTCATAAATGAACTCATTATTAGAAATAAAGAAACTTTTTGCGGTCGCTTCAAAGTCGTGATAAAAAAATAATTAAGTTCAACAAATTTAGAGTTGTTGAAAAGCAATAAAAATATTGGTACCAGTAATGTCTACTGAGAACTAGATCTAGTCACATGCAGATTATACGTTTTTACGATAATACCCCTAGTCTCGTAAAATGTATTACACAAATTAATTTACAGTATAGTAATTAAATCTAGTTACTTATAAAGAGTTAAAACAGGAGACTAATAATAGAAGATAGTATAAAAATAATACGCAACAAATAAAAATAAAAGCACTGTAAAATAACAATTAATTCTAATCGAAACTTAAAAAATGAGATAAACTTGGTTCTTCTTCTCACCACAAAACCTCTGCGCGAACACAAACGAACTAAAATTGATTCCTAATAATAAAATATAAAATCAGCAACTAATTTTTAGTTTTACCTATTAAACTGTAAATTGAGCTAATTGATTGAATGCCGTCAAAATAACGTATATATCTTCATGCTGTTTCCAAAATATTGATATTTACCGTAAAGATTAGTTTTGGACTTATTTCAAATATGATTGCGTCAATATTTTAATCTAATTAGTTTTTATTATAAAATATAGCCGAATACATATTAATAGTAATAAACTTGTTTATATTTTAGGGATACTTTTAATCAGCTTGACGTACTTACAAGATTTTTAAATTATAATAAACTCCTGAATACCGCATCAATAATATTTTTTAAATATTCGTAAGTAATGATAATTTTTAATTAATGAAACTAGAATAGGTATTAAGACCAAATATTTAACATATTAAAAAAAAAGATGGTATTATCCTCGCCAAGGAGAATAATAAAAATTGTTGACGAAATACAAGAAATCAACTTGCATACAAAAGAAATTTTATTGCAAAGATGGGCAGTGTATCCATCTTTCATGCCGAATGATATGGGTTCGATTGTCACTACAAAATCAAACGGTATTGCTAGGCCACCGCTTCGAAGGCCATGACTTAAGTTCAAAATTATAATTATATTAAACAGAAAAACCACATAACAGGCACATGTGGTGGTATACATACTTTTACAGTTCTCCACATAAGATTAGTTTTATTTTCTCCCTTCAATTGACACGTCCACATTTTGCAGCCACCTTATGCGATATGACTGCCAGCCGTAGAGAGTTCATCGTACGTGCTAATGTGGATACCAAGGTACTAAATATTTTAACTTTAAGGAGGAGCCAAGGTACTAAATATTTTAACTTTAAGGACGGACGAAAACAGTCTATCCCCGCCCTACTGATAAACGTGGACATAATATATCGGCTTATTTATTACTTCGGCGCTAATATTTAATTTTGACTTTAAAATCACACGCTTTTGGGACAATTGATTTTAACGAACAAATAAAATTGTAAAGGACTAGCCACACATTTTGAACAACTATTAAACTGTCCAGATGATGAAAAAAAAGTTCTAGATGACTAGAAAACTGCCTTGGTTCATCTATTGCATAAAAAGGGTGACAAAATAGATGTCAATGAATACAGAGGTATAGAACATCCTAGAGGTACTTTTCAGTGCGTCTCAGTTTTTCGATTTCTTTCTAATGCATTAAGTTGGATGTGACGGAGAAAGCGGTAGTTCCGTGATTAAACAGTACTATATTGCAGCGTTAGAATAAGCTTACATACATAAGCGGTTCTTTCCTAACCTACGTTTGATTCGTTGATATTTAGATGTGCGCTTTCTCTAGCCAATCAAATACGCCTATTACTGATAGTTGACGTGAAACTTCGTCCATGCTGGCCATTCTTTCGAAGTGTTCCAACAGCACGTTACGGCTGTCATTCAGGTCAGTATTTGCAAAGAATATAGACGCTATATAATACATTTATATTCTTTGGTATTTGTTTTGTATAATTTTATTTTGTATTTTGTTTTACATAGTATTGTGATTATGGTTTTATTTGTATTTGTACAAGATGACAAAATTTACGGAAAAAGAACAAGTTCGAATATTAAAATTGTTTAAATATTTTCAATTATAAAATATAAATATTTCACCATGGAGTTGTCTAAGGAAATATCTTTATGAAAACATCCCCACTGGCAGTATTTTTCTATAATTTTATCTGCTTATCTACTTATAAAAGTGTAATTTTGTACATAAAAACTGTAGAATCGCCTATTTTGACAGTATGCGCTAGATGAACAAACTTTGTTATTTATAAATACTTGTCTCTGCTCAAAACGTTGTAAGCACAGGAAACTCCTATGTCCTCATCCAATGACCTGATCTAATTTCATTTCTAGATGGTTCAGGCCTATATTTCAACAGATCAATTACTACTTTAGCTCCAAGTGGTATTTTTTTATTATCTTTAATATCGTTCGTTTTTTTTTCGCAACAAACGTGAAAACCATAATCATATCCAGTGGCACAAGTTATCAACCAATTCTTATATCCAAATCTGACGGGCTCCTCTCTAATTAATGTTTTGCTAGGTTATGGCCGAAATATTTCACCATGAATTTAACTAAGGATATATCTTTAAGGAAACTCTCCACAGTATTTTTCTATAATTTTCTATTACACTGATATTCAAATTCTATTTTTCAGTGTTTTCAATAAACTATTATTATTACACATTAGTGAATAAATAGTTTTTATGATTAGAATTATATTTTATTTATGTAATTAATTTAGAAGTTACCTAATAAATTTTTGAAAACAGTCTTTTTTGTGTTACTTAAACTATGGCCAAAAAGCAGTAGTGAGGATAGAAGAAATAACATCAGAAGAAATAGAAGTACAAAGAGTTGTTCGACAAGGGTGTATACATACACCAGTATTATTTAATATGTATACTCGGAAGACATATTAAGTAAGGCAATGGATTAACGAAACGTAGACATTAGAATTAATGACATGATCATAAATAACCTGAGATACGCTGATGATACAGTTCTTTTAGCCGAATCACATGAAGACCTACAGATACTTCTTAATTAGGTGACCGCAGTAAGCGAAGAAGAATATGGACCATCACTCAACAGAGCAAGAAATACATGATAATAACAAAGACAACTCAGGACATTCGTGAGATATATGTACAGAATCAGCCTATTGCAATTGTAAGAGAATTCAAATACCTAGATACAACTATTAATGAAAACAATGACAGCTCTCAAGAAATACGAATCAGAATCAAACAGGCCAGAAGCGCATTTACAAGAATACAACGGCTTCTCTGCTGTATAAACTTAAACCCTAAGTTAAAAATACGACTGCTGAGGTGCTACGTGCTATCCGTATTATAATACGGGATAGAAGCGTGGACACTGAAGAAAATTCACGTGGAGAGACTGAAGGCATTCAAGATGGGGATGTACGGAAGAGTAATAGAGATATCATGGGTAGATGGAATAACCAATGTTGAGGTAATGTGACGTATGCATAAGAAAAGCGAAGTACTAACAATTAAGAGGAGAAAAGTGGGATATATGGGTCATGTGATGAAAGGAGATAAATATCTAATACTCCAGGTCATTATGCAAGGAAAAATTCCGGAGAAAAAGATCCATAGGAAGGAGACGTAACCCATGTAATAACGACTTATTTAGAGCCGCTGTCTCAAAATTAAAAATCGCTGTGATGATTGAGAAGAAGAAAATACAAAAATTCAATAAATGAATCATATTGTCGTCAATTTCGAATGTTTCCATATTTATAAATTTAATAAACAATATTTTTTATTTTTATTAATATACGGGATCACCCCCTTTGGCTAAGTACGATCCTGGAATCTGTCAGATTCTTCAATAATTATATGAAATAATGCTCGACACACCTAATTCATTATATGACGTCATAATTAATGACGCACTGAAAAGTACCTCTGGGATGTACTTTATAAATATCTTTTTTAGCAGTAACATACAACATTCTCTTTGCCTGCCTCCGAAAAATAACAAATACAATTAAAATTGGCCGAATACCTAGCCGCATTCAGCCCGAAAAAATCGGGCGCAGAGCAAACAATAATTAAAATGAGAGAATTAAGATGGCAAACCTGTAATATGCACATTCGTCGATTTTAAAAAGGCGTATAATTCGATAGACCGAAAATCACTCCTGTGTATACAAGAAGAAAAAAGGCTGGATCACAAAACAAGAAGTCTCATTGGTAAAAACGACGAGATCAAGTCATACAACACCGCTTGAGAATAGGACATACCAGGTTAACCCACCAGTACCTAATAAAGAAAGAACAACAAAAACTGTGCTACGTTTGTAATATTCCTCTGACAATCGAACACATTATTGTTAGTTGCCCACTCTATCACCTGGAACGACTTCAAAGTGATTTGCCAAGTGATCTGAAACGTGCTCTGAACTATAGTAAATGTGATAAAGTGACTAAGATTCTAAAACTAACTAAATTGTACAATCTAATATAACAATAGACTTAAGTTCTCAATTGTAATTAGTTGTTATAAGCAAACATCTGATTTTATGTACAACTCTTCCCCGCCAATAAATACTTTACCCCGCGTTTGAAGATAATTATATATATATATATATATATATATATATATATATATATATATATATATATAATTTAATTACTTATTTACTCTAATAGATTACACGATTACAGTATGTTATTTTCTTCTATTCAGTAAGCTCTCATTGTCAAACTGGGTAACAAATGGTAAACTGTTTTTATGTTCAAAGAAAGTCACTTGTTGTTAGACTATAAAATTTTTGCGGAATTGTATACACAAATGCTGGGCGACTGTTTTAAAACTATGATTTATGAGGGTTCGCTTCCTGTGTCCACCCACCACTTTTTAGGTGCGGATTTTTATCCTTAAAAATGCTAAAAGATCAGATCAACACGAGACATGGTACTATAATATCCAGTTTATCAAAGACGCGAAAAGCGCGCCGGCGTCGGAATTTATTCACAATCAAAATACTGTATTCTTTTGTTATTATTCTAATCATTTAACCACCAACCTCAGTAAGTTTTAAGAAAATTTGCCTAGGGGAATTTATCGAACCTACAGAGAAATAAGAAACATTACAAAATTACAGGCTGCAAAAGACCAAAAAAGCACTAGAGATGACACAAAACATACATAACCAGCAAAGAACACTAAAATCCGTAACTATAATATCGTTATCAAAGCGTCCTTCTTATATGCAAACGAGAAACTAATCTTCAATAAAAATGCAAACTAGAACACATAAAAAAAGAAAAAAGAAAAATAATCAGAAAAATCACCGGTACTACACAAACAGAAGATGGATATAGTCTACAATCAAACAAAACAGTTGAAAAGATCTCGAACCTAGAAATTGATATCAGAAAAAGACGTATGAAACGGAATTCTAAAAAACATCAAAGAAATAGACTAACAAAAATATACTGGAGTATATAACTTAACTCAAATAACGAGCACCCTGGTTAAATCGAAAATCGAAACTCGAAATTCAAAAATCCTCAAATACTCAAAATCGCAAATATATACGAAATATACATAGACAGATAAAAACACCTTCAGAGACAAAGTAGATAAAGGGGACTGTTTGGAAAAGTATTAATAATAATAATAAATATTTTTAATAATTTTAAATGATCTTATTTAAAAGTTAATTTCATATCTTTGAATTCCCACGTTAAAATTGGCTATATTAATATTTTTTTATAAAGTCTGACAACCACTTGTCTGCTTTTAAGAGATCAACTTCTTGAGACTTTATCTAATTATTCTAGAGACTTTATGCATTTCGTAAGAAGGGAATGAATACGAAATTTTGTACAAAAGCTTGAGATAACAGCTTAAAAGATTAAAAATAATCTAATTACGGTGCACTCGACGTTCGAAATATTCCCAGACAATCGCTCCTCACCACCTCTAGGTATAAGAGGGATTTGTTCCTACGAAGGAATAAGGCAGAACTTTACAAATTTTGTGGCGAGCACACCCACACTTGAGTACACATTGAATTCATATCTTCCTGCCGCGACGTCGAAGATCATTTCCTTACAGCAACGCTTTAATTTACACATTTAATTAATTAAGCAGCTAATTTTAACTAAAATTGTCTAAAAAAAGAACTAAAAAACTAAAAAAGACAACGAAAACATCGCTTTACAGAACGTATTCGTGAATAATGGATAAATCAAAACTACACTAAAAAGAACTGATTCACCCTTAAAGTGAGAATTGGCCAATAATAATAAAATCATAGTAAAACACTTAATTTAAAAAAAGTTCGTTTCACTGAAAGGATTGTCGCCAGTTTATCAAGTTTTAATGCATATCCATACTCATAGAAATTGTGCGTCAGAAAATTAGAAAAACTATTTTATGTATAAAAAAACTTACCATAAAAGTCTATCGGATCCAAAGCAACAGCTAAGGCGTGCCATTGAAATGTATCTCCATACTTTTCGTTTGGATTTCTCAGTATTACTGCTTGTTCCGGTCTAACAACATGAGATAATTTAATATTTGGTAATAATGCGATTACTTGACCACTTATGGAAACGTTATATTTTCGAAGAATGGCTGACCAATGTCTTGAAGGTAATTTCAACCAAGGAGTATAGTCAGGATGCTTTAATTTTTCTATACCTTGTGTTTGATTTTGGGAATACTGTTCTGGAGGACTATATGTTACATAGTTGATACTAACCGGATAATCAGGTGTTGATATTGGATACATATTTACTGTAGGTACACTTTCAAAATGCATTATTGTACCATTCTCTGCTGGTTTGTCGACAGTTTTACGTAAGAATTGATTCATTATGTCACTTTTATAAATAATCAAAAATATGTACATCAACATAAGAAGCATGAAGGATCTCTGAAAAATTCTTGTACTAGCCCAAATATTGACTAATTTAACTCTTTTGGGAATTTTCTTTTCTTGTGGACCTTGTTTTTGAGCAACTACAATGTTTGATGGGAAATTTGTAAGTCTAGGATGTGATTTGGACCGTACCATACCCTTAACACCAGTAAAAGGTTTATCAAAGAAACTCTGTTGCTGATATAGATTATTTCTTAGCTTCTGACTCATTTTTTCTATTGCGTGTGACATACGATTCATGTCTAGACCGAGAATTGTCAAGAAAAAGAACATTTGCAAGAAGTAATCAGTAATAAGAGCAACTATTGAAAAAATGGAAAATTCCTGAATTTCTGGAATAAAAGTAAAGAGTCCAAAAGTTAAGACTGTAATTTCTAATAGTAAATTTTTAGTTATGGACCATCCCTCATTACTTAATCCTTGTGCGTTTCTGATTTTGACATCCAAATGCAAAGGTGTTGCAACAACGCTTTTGGTAAGAACAAGCACGTTTTCTAAACCAACCAGTAAAGTTAAATAAGGTATAATTCCTTTTCCACCATCCGAATTAAGAGTCAAACCAAAGAAAAAACAGATTCCCATAGTCATAGTAAGATTACAAAATATTGTGAATGTGGCAGTAAACGCCATTCCCAGTTTGGATTTTATTATTTCAATTTTTCGCACAGAAAAGTAATAATAGAGAAACAGTAAACCAAACGCGATTATTAGCGGTACTACTTCCACATAGTTTATTTCTCCTGGATATTTAATTAAAACAGTATCATTTAATTTGTAGTTGAAAGATGAACTTGAATTTTGGTACAAAGGATACAACGTAGTTAATTTATCTCGCAATCCTTCTATAAACCTAAAATACAAAGAAAACTAACATTACTTATATATTCTAACAAAAAGATAAATCTAATATAGTCAGATTTTTTTTAATATATAGCTAATAGACCAGTGCCGAACCCTTTAAAAAAGATAAAAAGTCAAAAAAAAATTATAGTAGAATAAAACCTATTGGAAAAGGAAGAGAATATGCTAAAAATGGAAGAAAAATAAATTCCACTTCATCCGAGGTCGGGAAGTGGGAGGTCGCAAAAGCACCCTAATTTTCAATCAAAAATTCACTCGTCAAAATATCAGCTTTTTTAAAAAAGTCGGTGGGCTTTTGTTCGTTGAAATATCTACTGTCCGATAGTGCAAAAAAAATACATTACTATGGGAAATATTCTCAGAAAATGAAGAAAACTCGAATCGAACATTTTTTATCATTATGTAATATTTTGAGATATTTATTAAAATTAACACTGTAATTACTCATGTTGCGTAAGATTTCATGGTACATTGACAAATAAAAAAATTATAAATTCTAGTTTAATTAACAAACAATTAAGTTAATAAGGTTTATATTTGATAAGACATCTACAATAGTATAAGAAAGTTGTAGAATTTTCTTTTAACCCTCCGTTCATCGGGTGTGGTCTGTGAGTCTACCACAAAATAAAAATTTTGGATAGTTCTCTCATTTTATTTTTTTAAATTTCTACCTTTTCGGTACCTTCCTAAAAACTAAATACCATTCGTTTTTTTTTATACAAAACTGTTTTTGAAATTTCTAAATAGCTGCTGTAAGGCCGTTTGTCCTGACAGACCCCACCTGATCAAATGTGTAACAATATTTGCACTGCTTCTTAGTTGCATTTTTCTTGCAATCTTGTTTCATTTGGCAACCCTGTGCATTTTTGTGAACTGGATTATTCGGTTCCGTTCCGAGAAAATACGTCAGTTCGCGATAAAAATTTTTTGTATGTGGTCTGTGCTTTCATATCGAGATTCAGTTGGACAAACATAAAGGTACGAAATAGCTGCATAAATTATTAATCTGATTAATTTAACAAAATATTGTATTTTAGCATTGTAAAATGGATCCTTATGAAGTGGAAATAGAGAGGCTAATGAATCTGTATGAGGAAACTGCCACAGACAGTAAAATGACTCTGACCACGACTCTGACGACGATTCGATCGCGGATCCAGATTTTTTAGGGATCAGTGATCATGATACAGACACCGAGCAGGAAAATGAAGATGAGCAAATTCTAAATGAGAATGAAGTTGAGAATGAAGAAAATGAGGAACAAATGGGTCATTACAGAGGCTTATATTTTTTTGGTAAAGACGGAACTACATGGAGAAAATTTGTCCCAACTAAAAATATTAGAACACGCAACGAAAACATAGTGACCCATTTTCCTGGGGTTGTTGGTGAAGCGCGACACGCATTATCTCCCATTGAATGCTGAACGCACATGTTTGGTAACTGCATTGATATTATATGTAAAAACACGAATTTATACATAAAAAAAATTCCGTTAGATATCAAGAAAAGACTGAATGTAGACCTACTGACCCAGTAGAAATTCGATCACTGATTGCTTTATTGTATTTGGTTGGACTTCATCAAGCATCAAGAACAAACCTGGAAGAGTACTGGTCGTCAAACGGTATGGGATATGAGATATTTCCTGCTACAATGGCAAAACGTAGGTTTATATTTTTACTGAAGTGTATCTGTTTTGATATATGATCGAGACCAAAGACTCGAGACCAAAGAAAAGAGGTGGACAAATTAGCAGCAATTCGTACTATCGTTGATAAGTTCAATAAAAATTGGAAGAAGAATTACTCATTGGGAGAATTCGTGACTTTGGACGAAATGTTACTTGCCTTTAGGGGTAGATGCAGTTTTAAAATGTATATTCCCAACAAACCTCACAAATATGGGCTTAAAGTTTTTCAGTTGTTAATGCCAAAACCTTCTTCACCTCGCACATTAAAATCTATGCTGGTATTCCACCTGATGGCGCATATAAAGTTGACAATTCTACTGCTGCAGTAACTGAAAGAGTGTGCTTAGATTTATCGGGTTCATGAAGAAACATAACCATAGACCATTGGTTCACAGGATATGCAATTGCCAAGAAACTACTAAGAGAACACCGACTCACCGTAATTGGTACAATTAGAGCCAACAGACGATAATTACCTGCAGAAATAACGCAAATTAAAAATAGGTATGTATATTCTTCAGTTTTTGCATTTAGCAACGATATGACTGACGTATCATATATACTGAAGAAAGGAAAAAAAGTGATTGCTGTTTCCACCGTACACAGAGATGACCGGATTGATGAAAATACTGGTGATCAGAAAAAACCAGAAATAATTACTGTTTATAATTCCACAAATAGTGGAGTAGATGTTGTAGACAGAATGATCACATCATATAGTGTTTCCAGAAATATGAAACGTTGGCCAATGGCAATAGTTTATAATCTCCTTAATCTTGCAGCAATTAATGCATTTGTAATTTACAAAGGCAACAACCCAGATGGAGAATTTCCCAAAACGCTAAGATTATTCCAATAAAATCTATGTATGGAATGGACCGCAGGAGTGTGACGTCACGAATGTCACATTGACTTATTACTTTATAAACAAAAAGTATAGTGTTTTTTACGATAATACCATCATAATTCAGAGTTCTATTTCTATGAAATATAGTTTAAAAGTTTAAATAAAGAAATTGTAACCTTACTTTATTGATACATGCATTTTATTGCTATTAGCATAAAACAACGTGCTTTATTATTTACACAACCTTGTAAAATTATTGTAGTAACTATTAGAATACTTAAATATTGCAATAAGCGGAAAGATTCTATAAAATAAATGAAAAAATAACGAAAAATACAAATTATCCACACTAAACCAGGTTTGTTTGGAAAGTGAAACTGACGTATGTCAGTAAAATCTACGTCATCACTCCTGTAGTCCATTTGTATAGGAGAGTATACGACGGAGAGCAGTAGTTGACACGCATTTGACAAAAGCTGTACGTGCTTGCATGCTGCAAAGATTGCTTAGAAAATTTGACCACCAAAGTTTAACAACTATAGTTTGTGTCCAGAATTTCATTTTTTAGTTTATATATGTTTTTGTAGTACTTTGTTTCTAATTAAAGTTTTAACTGTTTTTCTTTGTTTTTTTCATTATTTAGTCGCTGTTCACAAATTTGAAAAAATATGCGTTGAAATTGTAAACATTTTTAAAATTCACCTAATACAACTTAAAAATTTTTTGGAATTGTTTCTGTAATAAACATTATATAGTAAATGATTTGTTTAAAACACATTGATGCGAAATTAGCAATATAATGTATGCTGTTGCTCGGGAGGCGGTATTTCATTTTGGTCCTCACAGACCACACCCGACCGAAAGTGTTTTAGAATGATCACCCGATGAACGGAGGGTTAATATGCGTACATACTTATTTATTGCTATTTGAGGATAATTTATATACCTGAGGGACCTTCGGAAAATTTTAGTCCATCAAAAGGTATTTCGTAAAAAAGTGGGGAAGGGGCTACGAGGGTCGGACTTACTATACCTGCTATTTCGTAGCAGCTGTAAGAACCGTTAACTAGTATACGAGATAAAGATCAGTGAACAACATCGTTATAAAAATACACGTGCAGCCTGTTACTTTCAGAAAATTGTGACTAATTTACTCTAAATGAAATTATTGGAATCTACATAGGAAGGTAAATATTACTTGTGTTTTAATCTGTATCAATTAGTTCAAGATAAAAAAAGTGATATTTTCATTCATTAATAGTATATTTACCGTAACATAAACTAAAAAATTAAAATCAAATAATATTTTGGTACAAGATTAAAAAATAATAACTTTGTTTATTTTTCACAAACAAATTTAGTTATACTTATGATTAAACTGTCAAGGCATTAATAATTTGATTTTGTCTTTTCAGATTATCAGTATGGATGAATCTGTTTGTATAATCTGCAATAAAGCAGGTTATAAGCCAACATGTGAAATAAAAAAAAGCAGCTTTAAACCGTTTAGCATAAAAAGAATCGACAATAAATACAAAAAATTTGAGAATATGACGTCAGCTTTTATTCATCGAACTTGTCAAACTACATATGATAAGGAAACTGCGATAGCTGCATTTTGTAGCTCAAGATCTAGAAAATCAAAGGAAGGCAAAGAAGTAAATAAAGACGCTCTTAGATATAATTTTCAATCTCATTGCTTCCTCTGTGGTGGATTTTTCGGAAATATTTCAAAAGAAAAAATTTCATCTGTTAAAAGTAACGATACAAGAGATAATATATTACACTATATTAAAAAACAAAACACATTAACTGATCTTGATAAAAACATTGCAGCCCGCTGAGGGTCGCTCAGCATGTAAAAACACTAAGAGTTTTATTAATCACCTTATTAATTATATGGTTGAAAACTAAACAGAATGTCAAATTTCTATCAATGAAATAAAATAGAGTTTTTTCAGATCTACCAGACTACATAACTATTAAAGCCAAATTGAAAGAACATTTCCACAATGATATCGAGTGTCATTTAATTAAAAGAGACATGATAATTTTATACAAAAACGGTACTGCAAGTAAGAAACTGTGCAAAGACTGGTACAAAGATTAGAAAGTAAAGAAGACGAACGAACTAGAATTGTTCAAATGGCCGTTGAAATTGTTTTAGGAGATATACGTTCGAAAGTATACGATATGACTTATTATGAAATTCCAGATTTAAATGAAGGCAATCTTTTAAAGAATGTTGCTAAAACTTTGCAAGTTTTTTGAATATTGTGTGTAAAAGTAATAAAGAAAAGAGTACAAATAATGCTCGTAGAATGGATAAAAAAGTGGCCACAATGTCTCATTGCATTATCACATCTGTAAGGCCACGTTCTTTTTTATCTCCAATTTTATTTCGATTTTTACTTCGTCTATGATTCACACAAAAAATGCCTCTAAAGGATTGATTGATTCATTATCTAATTTGGGTTTGTGTTTCTCATATAAAGAAACGTTGCGTTTTGAAGCATCGATTATCAAGGACCCTGCAAATCATACGATTGCTCCAGATTCATACTTTCAATGTAATTATGACAATGCGGATCATAATACATGCACAATTATTGACAAGAATACTTTCCATGCTATGGGTGGAATAATGGTCGTTACTCCGGCGTCTAGTGTCACTTCAAAGAAAATCATTTTGTAAGTCGTCAGTTTATCAATCTATTTATAAGTGCAAAAATGATACGCTAACGCTGAATCAATTACGATTTCAAAAATATCAATTGACAAAAATCAAATCATCTTTCGTATTGGCAAATCTCCCACCCACAGAAGGTGCAGCAGAACAATATTGTTACAGGGCATATTATCAGCTTCAAACATGGCTGGGCAACGAACTGACAGCAACAGATTGGGGCTGGAAAAAACATCAACGTGGCATTATGCCCAAATTTACAGAAAATAAATTGATCCAGGAAATACTGCTCAAAACTATTTGCTGTAGCTGTGAAACTGGATGTAACAATTTAAAATGTGGTTGCCGAAAACATGGTTTGAAATGCACAAATTTATGTTCAAGTTGTCATGGCTCAGAAAATTGCTCTAATGTTGAGGAAAAAGTCTACGAAAAAATTAATGATAATGATTTTGATAAAATTGTGGATGAGGAAGTAACGCATAGAGGAAAAGATATTGGAGATGAAGACGGTGATGGTCTTGAAAATTTCGAAGATCTTCTAGAATCAGAAGGCGACGAAGGAATGCCATCAAAGAGGCAAAAATTAATGTCCTAAAAAATATGATGATAAATATATACATCATAAATATATATATATATATATATATATATATATATATATATATATATATATATATATATATATATATATATATATGTACATTGTAAGATTGCCCATGACAAAAAAATGTAATTAAACATTATTAAACCAGCTTTTTAATTGTAAAAAAAAATCGTATAGCAGTTACATTTTTTTGATGAAATTTCCTTTAAATCCCATCTTGAATATTTTTAACAGCTATTTTCACATGTATTTTTGCAATCTTAATGTTTTGTGGATTTATAATTTTTTTGTTTATCAATTTATTATGAAATCTTTAGCTACATGACTAATTACACTATTAATTATAAAAAATATCTCAAAATTGTACATAATGATGAAAAAAAATTTCTTCGATAAGTTTTTTTTTTGTTTTTTGCGTTTTTTGAAAACATTTGCCATAGTAATGTATTGTAATGTAAAAAAATATATGTAATGTATATATTTTTTTACACTATCGGAAACTAGAGATTTCAACAAACAAAACGCCCACCGACTTTTTTAAAAAAAGCTGATATTTTGACGCATGAATTTTTGATTGAAAATTAGGGTGCTTTTTCGATATTAAATCAATATCAGGTAAAAAAATAAATTTTTCAATTCCAAAAAACTACAGCGTATTTGGTACATACAAGGCAAGTTTTCACCAAATTTCGAAAAAAAAATTTTTATAAAAGATAAAAATAAAAAACCAAAAACTTGGTGCAAAGGTGCAATTAATATTTTGAAATAGACAGGCAGAATTCTGACTTCGTCATTTAAAAGCTTGCGAGAATCTTCTTCTTATTGCGCCGTCTTCTAACTAAGGTTGGCGATCACTTCTTTAAACGCTTCCCTATCTTTTGCAACATGAAATATCTGTTTAACACTGAAGTTAGTCCAATCTCTGATATTCCTCAGCCAAGAAACAATAATCCATAATAACGGTTTCATGGTTGATTATCATCTACACTTGTGTGCAAAATAATCTAAAATAAATTATTTTGCGAAAGTATGTCTCCTGTTTCAATCTAAAGAGTGTAAATTTAAAAATATTTAGTGTATAATCAATAACCTAATTATTGATTTTTAACAGTTTTGTTTTTTTTTTTTTGTGAATCGGATGACGAATTATAGATAAATAATACAACATGTACAGAGGGGGTCAGAATTTGACGCTAGAAATCGACACGCACCGATCATATGCATCAATTTCCATAGCAACCCACTACTACATCAGTCATTTAAATTCGCAACTGCATTACAAATGAATAGCACATATCCGCCAAAGCAGCTCAAGCAGCAGCATTATTTAAAGAAGGCCTGAGCCAGGGGCCGTGGCAAAACGACTAAATTTAAGCCAATTTGCTGTGTCCCGAGTGTATCGTCGGTACCAAGATACTGGTGATTGTGTCCGCCGACAAGGAGGGGGCTGTAAACGAATAACAACGGAGAGTGATGATCGATTTCTTGTATCGAAAGAATTGTAATGAAAATTACATTTTATATTTGTTTATGTTGTCCACCCTGCACCCATTCATTTATGTTGTCCACCCTGCACCCATTCATTTATGTTGTCCACCCTGCACGTGTGTCTATGTCGTTACTTCTTGATCAGTCCATCAATGTCTTTCCTGTTACTCATCTTACGATCCTCTTTTCAATTATTTCCTTATTCTTTTGATAGTTTCTGGTTCCGTTTCAGCGGTATATAGCATAATGGGCCTAACTACAGATTTATACAATCACGTTTTCGTTTGCCTCTTCATATTTTATCGTAAAAGGTCGTTACTTCTTCTACCATTTTGCTTTCAATTTCTAGTTTGCATCTTATTGTTCCTTTGATATTACTAGACTTTTTGCTTTTTGTGGCGTTATTTTTATATTGAACTCATTAGGCTTCATGTTGAAAGGATATGGCATTCTTTGTAAGTCGCCGTCTTTATTTTCCGCTATCAGGAATGTATCATCTGCATAACATTTATTTTTATTTCCTTACTTTCCATTTTCACTTGTTTGTCGCATTGTCACTGACATTGACACATATGAGATTAAAATGTTCATCAGTCTTATATCAAAAATGTAAATGAAATAAGCTACATCTAAAATTCCTCGATAGAATGTAGTTGAATTTGATTTCCAATATTAAAAGAAGTCACTAAAAAGTACCACTATTCGTAAGTCAATAACATATCAAGAATACACCATAAATCATTTAAAATCATATACACATAAAATTAGAATTTGATATGAATATCGAGTACACTAAATGTAAAACCGAATACTGACCATGTCAGAGAGCATCATGTGTAATAGATGTCTGAATGGTCATTAAGAATGAGGTACATATACAAAATTAAACTACAAGAATTTTTTCTATTTCCAAGTCACACAACAAAGTAATTTGTTTAATTTGTTTTTTGAGAATGATTTCCGAGAAGCAAATCGAAACGCTCCATAATAGCGACTTCCCACGGTCGGCGATATTGCGGACGTAAGCATACCAGCCCGCACTACGCACCGTGGGAAAGGTCTCGTCCGTGGTAGCGCAGGCACGTCTGTGCTGGTCCGTCCTATTCATCTAGAGTCGGTAACATCAAAGGTGCGGTACATGCTCGTGCGACGCGATCCTAGCGCGTCTGTGTTTTAACAGACGACAAGTGCAAGTCAGAAGTTTTTCAATCACTGACACGAGTAGTTGTTTGTACTGTTGTCAAAGTTGTTTTGCAGTTTTTTTGCTAAAAAATGGAATGAACAAAGTTATTTTTGATTTTTTAAATTTGTATTAAAATGAACCAAGTTTATGGAATTCCACGGCGCCAGAGCATAAGAACCGGAACGATGCATACGATATATGGAACCGAATAAAAAATCAATTGAAGAATAGTACTATTTCGATTAAAGATTTAAAAAAGAAGAGAGATAATTTAATGTCGACATACAGAAGGCAATGATGTTTACAAGCCTGAGTGGCCTTTTTATGATTTAATCAAACATTACTGTCACGGACCTACACAGACTGTCACGGACCGTAGGAAGAGCTCTGTCTGCGGTGCGTTGTCGTCCGTGCTGATCGGCTATCCGCGATGATCTGTAGAATCGCCGATCGTGGGAAGCCGCTATAACTTATTTTGTATTAAAATTGTAATTTTTCCCATTAAATATGGTAAATAATTGTCAAAAGAAAACAGTGTTAGAATCTTCTCCAAAATCTTTGATAAAAGATCCATAATATCTAGATAAAAGAGGATAAATGATATAAATTTATTGCATTCAATGATATAAAAACATTTTGTTACACTGTTTATGCAAATTATTGTACAGTATATAGACAGTATAGAAAGTATAGAAAACTTACTCTGAATCAAAATCTTTAAAAAATATTGTAAGTGCATATTGTATAATCCGAGGTCTGCTTCTCATAGGATATCGTTTAATGCCTGTATCAAATAGGTGCATGCCAAAAACCATATCAGAAATTGATGTTTTTCCTTTTTGGAAACTCTGAAAAAAACAACACATTAATTTTAGTTATATGATGGATTAAATAACTAACAATAGTTTACTACATATATTTAAAATATTCGTAGAAACATAAATAAATTCTTTCTATCACTTCTAAAAATGCATGAAATGCGGCAATTCTATTCCAACTATCCAATTTTTTCTTGGTATCAGTCCTTTTTTGCTCCTAGATTCCACATCAAGAGGGGTGTAAAAGGGTAGTGAATCGCAATACATGATTCCGTAACTTATTGTCATCACAGCCTTTCCTAGTCAATTCCTATATTCACCTCCAAGTTACACCAGTAACCAAAGTAACCATACTGGAGATTGGGTAATCAAGCGCCAGTGTAAGGTGGGGTCAGGGTACACTAAGAATGGAGACTTGGTCCTCGGACGAATAGTGGTTTGAGCGAAGTACTAGCAACCCTCCCTTGTAAAACCCAATTGTTGCGAATATAATGGCTAATGAGACAAACGGATGGATTTCACAACGACGGACACAGCAAAAAAATAGACATGACTATGGATTTAAAATTTGGTACCTGGAATGCGCGAACCCTCTTAAAGGCAAGATCTATTATTAGTTTGGCAGAAGAACTCATAAATACGGAGTTGAAATATGGCACGGCAGGAAATCAGATGGAAGAGCCAAGAAGAAATTCATAAAAATAAATTCTCACTATAAGTACTACCCAGCAAATGAAATCAGATAAGGTAAAAGAGGAGTACGGTTTATACTAACCAAAAGACTGCAAACATCCATTATCGCATTTGCACCAATATCAGTAAGAATTTTCAAGATAAGACTCAAATGGAAACGGACTATGTTTAATGTATATGCACCGACGGAAGAGGCTGATGAAGAAGATGTTAAAAGATTCTATGAAGAACTACATATGTAGCGTTTTTTTTTTTATTTAAAGTGTATAGAAAATATTTCTATGGTACGTCCCTGTTGTTTCTACCAAGAAATCGATTAATAAAGTTAAATGTAGGTACGTTGTAAATATTTCAAGTTTTTTTGACGAGATTTTTAAATGCGTATATTTCTACCGATTCAAAAGTAAATATAGATGTTTTTTTGTCTGTGTTTAGATTCAAATATCGAACCTTTTGTTATAAGCCAGGTAAAACTCAAGTTTAAAATACGCACGTATTTTGTTAATTTGTATTATGTAAATTTATGATGCCCCCTGATAAAAAAAAGGTTTTATTTGTTTTCTTCGTTAAAAACGCAATAAACCATGAATTCCCCTAATATTAAAGTTGTTTTTTGTTATTAGTCGAGGGTCAAAAAAAAAAAAAAGAATATTTGTTTGTTTAGGCAATAAAGGAACATTTAAAAGTTGTTTTTTTGTCGATACGAGCGAGGGGATATTGTTTTGGGTTCTTGAGTTGGTGGGGACAGGTTAGCTGCAAGACGGAAGGGAAATTTTTGGCTAGTTTCTTGTAAAATGTAACTAAGAGGAGTCGAGATTTAGATTCCAAGCGGGGCAGACATGTGGGAATGGAGTAAAAGATTTGAGAGGAAGTGATGAAGAACTTCTCGAAGAAAAAAGTCGTTTAATTGTGATGTTGTAAGCCGGCATTCATTCGCCAAAATGGTGGAATTTTCACTCTAAGTAATATGTCGTTTCTGAAAGAGTGACCAGTAACCACTGTTTTTATTTTGGCTGAAGATTTATGATGTTTGAGCAGTGAACAAGTTTAGTTCCTGTTTGTTTTTCGTTTTTTTTGAGAGATCCAGTTCCTTCCCGAGATGCCCTTTTCACCTCATGTAGAATAATATTGGAGCAGTTTTGATTTGGATGTGCCAGCTTCAGCTTCCAATAAAGCTTTCCGTTGATGTGCAGTTAGATACCCCACAGAAATTAGCCAGTTGTTCAAAAGTTTAAGTTAACATGAACTGAGGTAACATTTACGTTTTTAATTTTTAAAATAAAAATAGACATTTTCTTTTAAAAAGATAAAATTTGCTTTCTTTTATAAATTATTTTTTAAATTATTTACTAAGAACCGTTTCGAAGAGTTTTGTAACCTTTTGTAAACAGATATGTAAGTTTTTTTCATTTGTATTTGACAGCTAATTTTATTTAATATGCCTTTGTATAAGCTGTATTTTTGAAAACTGTTTGGTGAGACAAAAATAAATGTTTAATTTGTTTCTCTGATCTATTTTGAGTTTTATTTGAAAAAGATATTTTTTTTTCTATATTTTTTATGTTATACAATTATTTCCCTAGTTACAACTAGTGGTTGTAATAGGTATAATTGGGCACCTCAGGTGGCGCCCTATATTAAATTTCTTGAGGTGTTTCCGTTTATTTTCATTCTGTTTGTCCCAAGAGATTTGTATAAGTACCCCTTTATTTCTTTTCTTGTAGTTGCCCCAATCTAACCCCCAATATCTTCAACTTATCCACGACCCAGCTCTCCAACAACCAACTGAGTGTCGTACGCACTAATTTCGATTATTTTGTTTGCCCAATCTTGTCCCCCATATTCTTACCCTGTGGTAAGCAAAATAGTCGTTACAATTTTGGCGCCCAACGCGAGTGGCATGAATTAGGTTGGCGCTAATTGTATCTATCGTTACAATTTTAGCGCCCAACTGTGTGGCTTGTCTTAGATTTGCGCCAATTGTACCTATTGTTACAATTTTGGCTCCCAACGTGCGAGGCTTTTGAATATTCCTTAATTTTTAGATTTTTGACCATTTTCCTGAAGCCACATATCTTTTTCAGTTTCCCCAGTTCCCTGCCATTTATATGAAACTTTTTTCCTTTTGAATAGTGCCCCAAAGTGTCTCACAAACAGTAGTGTATTTGTATTACAATGTATGTATTTTGTACCAACATTATGTATTGTTGTTTTTTCAGGTAATGTACTTATAGTGACATATGTATTGTTCTTCATATATGTAATGGTAAATGAAAGCAAATATTTGAGTTAAATATTTAAAAATGAGTTTTAATTGAAGTATTGATATTGAAAAGAATTTAAAAACAGTAGCAAATTATACAGTTACTGTTACATTTATTTTTTTATTGATTTGACAAATCTTACAGAATAATTGGTTTTTGTAATTTTTTATTTGTTCCGTCAATTTTGAGTAAATGTGTGTATTCGTTTGAGTGACTTTTGAGCTATGTAGTTGAGAAGTAGTATTATGCAATTTGTCTTCTAATTAACCGTCTCTGAAGGTATATTTAAATGCCAAGGGTTAATTAATGTTGTTGTACGAGGGGTAGTCATTGTGAGTCCTAGAGAAGATTCGACAAGTTTAGTCTCAGTAGTAGACTGTTTGTTTATTGTGTATCCTTTCTTGTATCTGAATGACCACAAGTGTAATATTTGTGATCAGGAGATGCTGTTTTAGTTTTGACTAGGAGCAGTCTCATTTAGTTTTCGGAACAAGAGTTGGTTTATTTTGGTATTATTTAGTGTAGCTCACTCAAAGGTCAAGTTTTCAATATTATTAGTATTTTGTCTTTCCCCTGTATGTACTGTTTATGTTGCTTGTTAGTGTCCATGTTGTCCCGTGTTATTTGAAACCATTTTTTTAGTCCTTGTTAGTGGAAGTGTGAAATTTTAGGAGACAGGTTAAAGACCTCATTTTTGTTTACCAACTGATTACTAAGTCAAGAGCAGAAGTTGCAGCAAACTGATTGAGTTTTGGATTTCAGTACGCGGGAGTGCAAGTGAGACTTACTATCAGGTGATAAATGGAAACGGTTGTTTCTTAAATTTATCATATTTTCTACTAGTTGTTGAGGTTGATTTCAGTTATTTTGTGTGTTTGTTTTCATCCAATTTTTGAAAAATGAAGTCTACCCAGGTTAATCATTTGAAATCAGGAGAGTTATCTTATGAGCTTTTCATAAGAGGTAAAAATGTCCCAAATAAGACAGTTGATGATAAGAGAAATATGTTAAGAGCTTTGTTGGCCAAGGAGGCCACTTCGTCTTTAAGTTTAGTCGATTTGGTTAGTAATGTAGTAGATCCTGAAAAAGAGTTGTGTGAGATTAAGTTGATTATGGAAGATTTATGTATTAGTGCTCAATCAATAAATGTAGAATCAAATAAGGCTGATTTTGCTAGATTTGAGACAAGGTCTGCACATTTAGATACCAGATTAGAAAATTTCCCTATGAATGATGTTGAGGAAGATGTTAAAAAGTTTGTCAATGAGTGTAAAGATGATTTGTTGTTGTTACAGGGTGATGTGTTTGAAAAACTAGAAATGTCTGATGATTTAGTAAAACCATCCACTAGTAGCCCAGTTTCAGTCCCTGTAGTTCCCAGTTGTACAGTCCCAGCCCCAATAATACAGGTTTCAACTCCTGTCATTATTTCTGATCTACATATTAAGTTTAATGGTGAGAGTAAAGCTCTTCCCACATTTTTAGAGAAAGTTAAAGATTCTGCTAGGTCTCGGAATATTTCCGAAGACATCCTGTTTCGCTCAGCTATTGAGTTATTTGAAGGTAATGCTGCTATTTGGTATAGGAGTGTTAGAGATAAAATTAATAGTTGGGATGAGTTGGTAGCCCTACTCAAATCTGCTTTTTTACACCCAGATTATAATGATAATCTCTTCGAAGAAATTAAAAGTAGAAAGCAAAAAAGGAATGAATCCATAACCATTTATTCAGCAGTGATGGAAAACCTTTTTAAACGTTTGGAAACATATCCTAGTGAAGCCCAAAAAGTGAAAATAATGAGGAAAAATATTTTAGTGGATTACATTCCACTGATTGCCCTTCAAGATTTTGCTACAGTAGAAATGTTAGTAGCAACTATAAAACGTTTAGAGCAGAATATCCTGCCTTTATTGCAGACTACTAAAGGTCTTGCAGGTATTTCGATTGATGATTCAGAAAAGCCCAAAGAACAAGTTTATGTGGTGAATTATCAAACCAAGCAAGATGGAAGTGGAGTAGGTAACAGACAGGACAGAGATAATTCTTCTAAGAGACCCAATCCCAAACATAAGT